TTCCGCAAAGATGCCATGGAGCGATACTTCCGGATGGTGCTAAGCAACAATATATCGTTTTTTGTTCCGGTGTAACTTTCGACCGTATGAGTTTAAATGGGCAAACCGGTTGACTCGGTTGTTGTTTCGAAACAACGATGGTTTCTTTCGCTTCCTCATACAGAGATCAATGCCTCATACACTATCAGGCCCGATATATCGTTCCTTATCAACACTTTTGAGATGTAAAATGTTTTTCTTTTTTTTCTCGTACACTAGACTTTGCCCACAAAGCAAGCAACTTTTTGGACAAAATAAGCAACTCTAGCATTTTTCGGAAAATTACAAAAAAATTGTAGCATCAAAAGGTTGATGGTAATTTTTACATTGAACAATGGGAAATCAATTTTTTTTAACGGCTTGAACCATTATAATAAAAATGTTGCAAAGTTATTGTCCTTAAAATTCTGAACAAAATGGTATAACCACAACTCATATTTGAAACGGTTATAATTTCAGGCGTTATCTACTGAAAATAGATAGTATATACTGTTATGGGTAAAATTACAAGCTGGCAAGTTGCATAGCGAGTGACACAAACATTTAACTTACAAGCTCAGGCAACAACAAAGCAACAAAGGCAAATCCAACACAATTTAAGTTCTAGAAACTGACTTAGCAAAAATCAGTTTATCTAATTAATTACATTCATCCTAAATTAATTGATACATAAATATTTTATATAGTTCTTAACTGTGCCCAGACATGAAACACACATAAAAACAGGATTCAGATTCTGCAAGCGGTGGGAAAATTTCTTGCAGTATCAATAGTCATCAGGGGAGTACAGTTTGTTCCATTTTGTTTTCTATCGATTATGAGTTTTTGTAATTAACCAATCCATGAAAAATGTTGACACAACAAAAATTATACAATAAAAATTTAGTTGACTCAGGTACACTTTACATTTCTGTTCAGGAGGGTGAGCTTGAACACAAAGCACTCCATTTAAACCTACCAGAAATTGACTTTTTGTCAAGGTTTTGTGGTAGAACAAGCTCATCATCAGCATCGATAGGTATGGATCACCTTTCCACTACTGGTGGAGTCGTGGTGTCCATCAGCATAGCGAGAAAAAATTTGTTGTCCGACATCAGAGTGAGGATCGACAAATATTTGTATTAATATTGTCCTCATTCAGTCCTGAATTTTAGGTGAACAGATGCTCGAGTTGGAAAAACCAGTAGCTCCCTACCGTTAGTCCCCTCTCCCAGAATATTGTCGAAATTAAAAAGCAGAAAACAAGTTTTAACGCTATTTATGATCAAATGTTACTTGGTTTGTTGATTATTCCATGGTGTTCTACAGAGTTATGGTGACATAGACTTCAAGGTATTACGTTTTCTTAAATGACCACAGCACAATTTCATCTTGAATTAAAAAATCGTGTATAGTCCAACAATCTGGTCTCTAGAGATTAAGTTCTCTGTATGTCAGTTTCTTAAACCAAAGTTTAAAATATAGAGTTAAATGCAACTAAGTAGTGGAAATTTAGAACCCGTGCATTAAGTCAAATACAACCATAGGTAGTGGAAAACATAAATTCACAATCATATTGTGTTAAATATATAGGAGCTTGGGGCAAGTGTGTGCACTTATAAGGTTTAACCCCCCAAAAATAGGCCAACTGATTTACACTTGTATCTAAACTAATAGTAAACAATTGTATGTTAGTTAATAGCCAGTTAGTTAGAGATTAAGTTCTCTGTATGTCAGTTTCTTAAACCAAAGTTTAAAATATAGAGTTAAATGCAACTAAGTAGTGGAAATTTAGAACCAGTGCATTAAGTCAAATACAACCATAGGTAGTGGAAAACATAAATTCACAATCATATTGTGTTAAATATATAGGAGCTTAAGGCAAGTGTGTGCACTTATAAAGTTTAACCCCCCCCCCCCCAAAAAAAAAAAAATAGGTCAAATGATTTACACTTGTATCTAAACTAATAGTTAACAATTGTATGTTAGTTAATAGCCAAACTACATTTTATTACTTTCTCCTCCTATACCATAATATATGAAGAAAGGATTGTTTTCGTCAAAACTTTTGAGTTTTGAGTGGATATATCCGTTTGGATCCAAAAAAGTGGTTTTCGAAGTGATGTCTGTGTGTGTGTCTGGATGTGTACAGAGCTAGGGACTACACCTTTAGAACCGATTTCGATGAAATTTGGTATGTAAGTTAAATTTATAGTATCTCCAGGCGTTTTTTTTCTTTTTTTTTTTGAAATTTTGGTTTTTAATGTTGATTTTCCTAAAAAACCCATAAAATAACGGAAAAATTGGATTTTCTCAAAAATGGCCTGAACGATTTTTATAAAAATTTAGTATGTTGTAGCCCTTTAAATTCTGAACAAAACGACACGACTCTCATTTCTGTAAAAATTACGGTAAAAAAAAAGTTATTGTAAATTATGTTATTTTCCCATAAAACCCCATAAAATAACAAAATATAGGATTTTAGAAAAAAAGCTGGATTTAATTTTTAACTTAATATGGTTTGGACCTTAAAATGTTTAACGTGTTTTTAATTGTTTAGAAATTAAGATTTTTAATGGGGATTTCCCCATAAAATAACAGGAAAATCGGATTTTCTCGAAAAAGGCCCGAACGATTTTCTTAAAAAGTTAGTATGTTATAGTCCTTTAACCCTCCGAGTGTCCCTTGTTTTGGCCTTAATGTCTGCCTATTTTTTTGCTCATTTGCAAGGTTTTATTAAAACGGATCTGAGAAGCTTGATAACAATGTTAATTATACTGTTCTATATACCATTTTGTTTGGAAAATCATGGGCTTCAATATTATACATAAAACATAAGGAACATTTGTTTCAAAAACATCTTTTAGGTTAAAAAAAAATATTTTGGAAAATTTTCAACAAAAAAATAAGTTTGCGCTCAATGAAATTGTATAAATTATAGGCCTATAAATGTTTGAAAATAGCCACTTTGTTCTAAATTTTATGAGGATTACAAATATATAATAATATAAGGAAGTAGATTTGCAAATAAATAAGTTATGGGCAAAAAACAGATTTCAGTAGATAGCGTTTAGCTAAGAATGCATAGCCTAACCATAGCTAGGAATCTGGCTGATAATTTACATCAATATCACTACCTACTTCTTCAGGATCATCAACCAGCCCTTCAAAACCTTAAATCTTCTTATAATGCACCACGTATATCACTACTTTTGATTTTTAACACTAAAACAATGATAAACGTAATAAAACACATCAGTCATCGGTCCGAGGGTAACCTAGCTGTTTACAAATACGCACGTCAGCTGTCTGCTACAATTACGATCGGCTCAGAGAACATAAAGCGCTTAGAGACAGACCTCTGGAGAAAGCTTAGAATCTAACGAAAAGAACGGTACCTAACTCGATCCAGTTCAATCCGATTTTGTCAGTCATAGAGCCTTCGCCGTAAACAGTGTTTGTGAGTCGCTGCAGCGACAAATAACACTCGGAGGGTTAAATTCTGAACAAAATGGTACAAACCCTATTTCCGTGAAAATTAGTTACTGTAACTTATGTTATTTCTCATAAAAAAACTATAAAATAACCAAATAAAATTGGATCTTTTGAGAAATATAGGTTTTGATAAAAATTAATATGTTATGGTCCTTATAATTCGAAAAAAATAGTACAACACACCCCTTTGCTGTAACAATTACGGTTCAAAAGTTAATAGTTAATACCTGTTACCTTGATTTTATCATACCACTACAACAAGCAGGAAGATTTTATCCATGAATAGACAATAGAAAAATATTTATTTCTTTTACAATGGAAATCGCCACAAGTTACAATGAAGAAAATAATTACATAAGTGTTTAACTCGACAACAGAGACCAAGGGATGTTTGGATGGTTTAATATATACATAGATTCAGATTGGAATGGAGATCTTAATAGCCTAGTAGTTGTTACTTGACCCTTTGAGCTCTAAAGGTTGAGATACCCAACACAAGAGCAACATAACTTCTACTCACAAATCAACTCAGCAAAGTTAGCCAAAAGCAATAGCTAAAACAAAACAACATGGGAGTCAAATTTATTAACCACTTTTGCCTGTCAAAAACTTTTTTTAAGACTAGGGAATATTATGCTAACATAACTATACAGTAAAACGTCAATAATCCGAATTAATTGGGACCAGACCCCATTTGGCTTATAAAGTTATACGGATTAGCAAAATTAACTTAAGCATTCGCTATTTGAGTAAAATAGTTCAAAATTTTTCTATTAGTAAAGGGTCTAGAAGAGAGATTATTTGGGGAAAAAATATGTTCAAGCACTGTTTCGATATAAATTTTCAGTGACATGTGTACAGTCTGTTGTAAAAATACTAAAGATATTTGAGCTTTTAAAAAAGTCCCTTATTTGTTTAAAGACAGTACTAATGGTACAACATTTTATTTCTTACTTAAGGTAAGTCCGGATTTTTCGATGTTCTACTGTAGTTAAATCAACAATGTGCAATTTAAAGATTTAAGTAACTAATACTAAAAGTTTAAACCTAAATAAAGCAACAAAAACAAACTGTGTTTAGTACAAAGTACATTATACTAACTAAAAATCAACTTGTAAATCATCCAAAAGTCTGGGGTTTGAGAGTGGAAAAATTGCACAATGGAACAAACACCTTTTGTGAAATGACCGTTTAGACAAATTCACTTCTCACATAGTTCTCACAACTTTCATCAAAATAAGCTCATTTAACAATTTATGTTGCATAGAGGCAACTCATAAAGCATCCGTCAACAAAATCAGTCTCAAACAAAAACTCAATGGATATCATTTCCTAAAACAAATTAATAAACTGCACTTTGGTACATTACTTTGGCAAACTTTAACGTCACCATTCTCCGTATAGCACACCAACAGGTTGCAGGCACAAAAAGTGTTCTGCAGAAGCACAATAATTCCTCCTCTTCAGGTCAGGTGGTCAGGTGTACCTCCTCTTAAGTCATTGTCTTTTACCGCATTTCCTGGAATCAACTTGTTTTTGTCATAACATTTATAGGCCTATTGTTAGATTTTCAACTTATCTATTAGTCATGGACAGGCAGTCGACTCGACCCAATGGTTGGACCAGTATATCTGTAGTATTGTCCACTGGCTCAGCAGACGGTCCTTTATTATTGTCACTCTATTGAGCGTAGTTTTCTTTAAGTACAAATAAAACAATGCAATACTGTATGGTTTCTAAATATATTTCTGTTTATTTTAAATCAAATTTCACGCATATCATTCAACATTTATATGTGCAACAAGTGCTGGAATAGAATATTCAAATGTTGGCCGATCTGTGACATTAGACATGTTATACTGTGACTACTATAGACTGTTATACCTGTGTCATAAGTTATACTGTGTGAAATTTCATATCAAATTGACCAAAAGCGTTAGAGAAACCACAATATGGCATTGTTTTATTTGCACCTGTAATATTACTGTGTTGTAATGAACTTGTGTTGGTTAGTCTATGATATTATACAGTGCCGAGATATTCAGCAGTATTTGTAAGGAAAAAAAGTTTTTCGCTTAACAGCACAACTGTCTTGAAGTTTAATGTCATACAACTGAAAATGAAAGATAGCAATTATTTTAGTTTTATTCTTAGTTCTGTAATTCAACTTAGCCCAATAAAGACAATTATAGTTAGTAGATTAGAATGATGTCCATAACGCTATAATATATTTAATGTTATGCTACCAAGTACCAGTAGGCCTAAAACTTTCTGTCAAATCCATATGCTGAAACTACTAAAAAGCAATGGGGGAATGTTTATTTCCAACTTCCTTCTTCAAATTAACTTCACGTGTTGCGTGAAACTTGCTTGTCCAAAGACCGAGTTAACATTTACAATCCATCACAGTGTAATCAGAGACCTAGGTCCATTTCCCATTTAAAACCAATTCACCTTCACTTACTAATTGTAGTTAGCCAAGTTTACCATTTTAAGAGATCTCGATTTTAGGACTAATTGGTTTAGGCTACATTTGATATGTTACTACATATGTTACATAATGAGTGCAATACTTACTGTAGGATGAGGGGTCAATGTTCAGGTAATTCAGGTATGTCTATACCAAAACTTTTTAAGATGTCCATCTCGTTTTTATTACTAACAAATGATACGGCGATTACCTGTAGAAAACAAGACATAATTAGGATTCACCAACTTTAAAAGTATCTAAAAATATTCTTTGTCAAAACTTAGTAACCTGTTGTTTTATTATTTCTCTCGTTAAAGTTTATTGTACATGAAACTCTACACCATAATAAACAAAAGGATTTTAAAAGCCTCTTATAATCATCGCTCAATGCAGAAAACCCCTCTATTGTTAAAAGTTACAATGTTTTTCAGGGCTGTGCGAATAGTTCGAAAAACGAATCGAATCCGAATCTTTTTAGAGATTCGATTCGGATTCGAGAACGAATCTACTGTTTCTAACTGGATTCGGATTCGGAATCGATATTCGAATTTACTGATAAGAGATCCGGGTTCGGATTCGATATTCGAATTTCTTGGAAATAGATCCGAGTTGGGATTTGATATTCAAATTTACTAGATTCTGATTGAATATAATTTTCAATATAATTTTTTAGACACTAAAAAACTACTTGTGCACTCCGATTTGCTGTTGACTGGTTCATGTTAGGAACCTGACCAACTTGGTGTTAGGCTTTAGGCACATTAGTGTAGGTCGCATTTGAACCCTATCTTGGCTATCAGTAAACTTAACCTCACAGTGTTAGTTGTTACTTGTAATAGTAATGCAGACATAGGCTTGTGTGGAGGATTAACACCAAGGTGTATAATAGGCTGGGCCTATGTTTTAGACTACACAAATTGGTAGTCCATCACTTTTAGCGAGAAACTTAGGCCTAGGTGGTATGCCTAACTTATGCCCAATTTTTTAGTTTCAAAACTTCAAATAGGTAGGCCTAAATGTCATAACTTTTTTATTTGGCCCATTTCAAGAATTTTTTTAAGCAATTCCCTAAGTTATTTCAGCCCTAGAAAATGTGGTCTAAAAATGTGAAAATTGGTACTGCTGACTTTCCTCGGATTTGGATTCGACTCTGAACAGGTTTAAATATTCGGATTCGATAACAGCTTTAAATTTCAGATTCGGATTCGATCCAGGTTCGATAATGGCTGTAAATTTGAGATTCGGATTCGACCCAGATTCGACTCGGGATTAATTAAAATATTCGGATTCGATAAAATCTGTACAGCTATGATTCGGATTCGGATTTGAACCAAAATTTCTGGATTCGCACAGCCCTGGTGTTTTTATTTAAAATTTTAATAGCATTAAGAATGTTTTGAACGCACAAGTTAGTTACAGCTCTAGTTCTTTTCGATCATTTGTGATCCTTATTTATTGATCTTGATTGCTATTGTTGATCATGCAATCTTGTTGGCTTCTGATAATGGCCACCAAACTGACAGATGGAGGGGGATATAGTGAAAGCTACGAAGACAAAGTTAAACAACTTAGTTGTTATGGAGGGTCAAGTTTTAAGAAGTTTAAAGAATAATATGAGTCAACTACGGGTGAACCATTCTTTGAAACCTAAAAAATAAGACATATTTGTGTTATTTAATTAGGACAGAGGCTTTGTCCTGTAATCCAGCTAGGAGCGAGCGTAGCTCACTTTCCCTCACTTTGTAACTTCTTTGTAAGAGCATCAGAATGTAATGGCTTGACCAATTGATATGAAATTTGGCCAACAGCTAAAGAATACTGAGCACAATGTTTTGGTAAAAAATATTAGCAAATTTCCTTCTGGATTTTATTTTACGGGTCACGCAATTTCGCTTGTTATTTTAATGTAAGTTGAAAGAAAAATTATATTGGGTTTATAACATATGGGTTTATCTTGTTTTTTTTAATAAGATAAACATATGTTAATTGTTTGTAACTGTTTTGTTTACATTTCAATGTTTACTCTCATCCTAGGTCAAAGTTAGTTAGTTTATCAATGGAAGTAACAGTTTTGCTATATCTGTTTTGAGCATGGCTCAAAGACCACGTCGTAATATTGGTCGTCGCACCAATAATGCAAATATTGTAAGATAGTGGCGTCGTGAACAAGAAGAACCAGATGAAGCAGTGGCGGAAGAAGCTAATAATGATAGGCAGTTAGCTAATCAATTCCAACATGAATTAGATGCACTACAATTTTATACTTGCACTAACTGTCATCGCCAACAACTAACGGCTTCAAACCAATCACCGATTTGTTCGTGTTGTCGTTCAAATGTAACTAAATTCACGGCGTTAAATAATATGGATGTGTCAAGAGTCCCGAACGAATTAACTGACCTGACGATTGTAGAACAATGTTGATTGCATGAGTACATCCTGCTATGCCCATTTTGTACAAGCAAATAGTCAGGATAGCAAGTTTCACTACAAAGGTACAGGAAGTTAGTTCATACAGTATGAACTATCAGATAAATTTGTCATTCTTTAGAACTTAAATAATATCGGGCAAACAAACGGTGAATCTGTTGAATGGGAACATATTGTAGGGTGTTAGCTGCTTTAGCCATTGACAATCTTTAAATAATGCTTCGCTCATTTATGCGTCTAAAGTGTAACGGCAGACCACCCTAGTGGATATTTATAGGCATGCACTGTGGATGTGATACTCCCTGGTGTGGATTAACGTCCGCACTAGTGAGTACTACGACCATCCTCAATACAACAGTTTACTTCCCCATAAGGACATGGGGATTTTAAATTGGCAATATTTTTTCTTTTTCGCTGAGCCCTCCAACCGCCCTGAAATATATCCCCAGATGAACAAAACCCAGGGTAGAATTGAAGGACTTACTACGGATATGGGTCAGGTTTGGAGTCTCATGACTAAGTATCAAGGATGTTTGCCTTGTACAGCTGCGGGATTATTTTTTCGTATTTCTAATGTATGTATATATACATTGTAAAACATTTTTGGAATAAAACAGATTTTGATTTGATTTGAAGTGTAGGATGTGAGTAGACAAGTAAAGGATAGTGTGGTGGGAAAGTAAGTTAGCATGCCCCTCCCAGGAAACAATTAATAAAATGAAGTAGATGAATTACATCTTGCATAAATTCTTTGCAGACAGGCCTGATCTCCTCTTTGAGTTTTGCACTAAACATCATCACTTGCTTGCTTTGAGGAGTTTCTCTGAATATTTCTTGGACGTCTCTCCTCATGTCTGAAAAAAAACAGAAGTATTCAGTCCAAAATTACATAGAATATGCATAGGATTTAAATAACTGTAAATCACCAGAGAAAACAGACGCATAGCTTGTTAAGTATCCTGACAAAAAAATGTATTCCAACCTCAATGAAACTTAGAAAATAGAGAGGGTATATTGTGTGTGCTCTTAAGTTACTAATCTTGCTCCTATACAGAATCAGAAATTGTAACTGCCTGTAGCATACAATTGACTGCATATAAAAAATTAAAATAGCAGTATAGCACATTGTCTAACTTGAAACTAACCACAAGAAATTCAGATAGTCGCTATCCACTACATAAGTTTGAGCTTGCAAGAATATACAAATCTCATGACACAGAGAAATGTGTTTATTTAATAGCACTTGCCTAATACTTCCAATATTTTGTCACACTCATCAAGAACAAAGCATCCCACATGTTTCAGGTTCAAGGTATTGCTGCGCACCAAAGCCAGGATACGTCCAGGAGTTCCCACCACAATATGCGGACAGTTGTTTTTCAAAACTTCCTCGTCCTTTTCAATAGGCTGATCACCAGAAAAACCTCCCACCTAAAACACAAGTAAAATATGGAGATTTCCATATTCTAGATAGAATTTCCACTCCTTTGCCTCGTACTCAACTCTCTTTTGAGGTTTACTAACAGGTAAAACAGGTAAATTGGTCTGATGTTCTAGCAGATCAGACCTTTCATATACCTCAGAAATCAGAATATTTATGTTCTCATAAGAGGTGCTTTGTTTCCAGAACTTGTCACTCACCAATCCTACCTTTAGGCCCAAACCTTCCACTAGTTATTGGAACACGATTTGGATTTGTGTTAATGGACAATGCACCACCTTTGTCTAACTCTTCTGCTTCTCCCACCTCATGCCATTCGTCTCTACTCTCCACTACGGACAAGCTACATAATACTCTACTTTGCTTTTGGCAACAAGAAGAGGTACCGCAGTGCAATCTTATCTCTGAAGACGATCGCCTCACTGAAGATCACTTCAAATCAACTCACTCCCGCTCTCCAGATGGAATATACATGTGGATTTAATTTGTGATGAAAATTGTTTTAAAACCGTATCAACACTTGTATCAATTTAATTTCGATAGATTGCATTAACAATACCTTTTTAAAAACTGATTTTCAAACAAAAATAGTACAAGTTGTTAAACTTACTTTGAAATCTCGTTGAAAATGGGTTTAATTTTCTTCAAACTTGTATTCAAACTTACAAAAATAAAATTTTAATACTTGTATTATACATCTTTTCAGACCAAATCCAAACTGATATTCCAATAGTTTTAATATAAGTTTTTAAACTTAGACTAAACTCCCATTTAAATAATTTTAAAACGGTTCAAACAGATTTTTAAACATCTTTAATATAAGTTTGAATAATTATACTATAAACTTGATTTAAAAATAGTTTTTAAACTGTTCAAACCGATGTTAAAACTTATATCAATATACAATTTTGTATGACTTAAAAACATGTTAAACTCTATCAAAACTTGTTTTAATATTTGTTTCATATCTTGTAATAAAACAATTTTAAACTCCATTGAAACTTATATTTAAGTGTTTTTAATACACAAATTATGTCAACATGTTTTAAAATTGTATTATAACACTTTTATACTAGTTTGAAACAATTTTTTGGCTACTTGGTACCTTAATCTGAGGCATGTATTTTGAGAAGCGCTCGTACTCTTTGCTGATCTGGAATACCAGTTCTTTGCTGTGACACATTACCAGGACGTAGACATGGTTGTCGGATGTGTTCTCGAGCTTTTGAAGTGTTGCCAACACAAAAGCAGTCGTTTTACCTCCAGACTCAGCCTGACATAAAATGTCCATTCCAAGCAATGCTGGAGGTATACATTCGTGTTGCACTGAGAACATGAAATGTATTATTCTTTGAGAAGGGGTACTTTCCTAGTTCATGTGTTTTACAATACATACTTTAATTACAAGTCTTGTTAAGTACAGATTAAAGATTTGAGAAAATAATAAAAACTTTAAATATCAAATAAAGCGTGTTGACTAAATCATCATAAGTAGGATTTATGATTTTATTTAAACATTCCACAAAAAAAATTACCTCCTCCCAAGCATGGGGTTGCAAATCCCTGTAAGTAATTACTAGAATACTACTGAATTCACCAAGAATTCACCGTTCGTACTAACTACAAATAAATGTCACACTATTATCCAAACTGTTAGGGAGTATTAGTAAATTGCATTTTATGGATTATTTAGATTTTAATTTAAAATACCCTTGCCGCATCAAACCTGCAGACTAAGCAAATTTCCATTTGGCCTGATTTGATTTTCAATTAAATATATTTTAATGACATTACGTTTAACGAGTACCTAGGTTTGCTGCTACAGGGAGGGTAATAAAGTGTGTTGATTAATAACTTATTTTCAAATAACTCAACTACCAAATATGATCAAAATATATCCATAAACAAGCGAACTACAACAGTTTACTTATTCTCCATAAGAATAACATGGAAATAAGCTAACAATTTCTTAATTTTCTTTGTAACCAATAACCATACAAAAACACTTTAACCCTTTCAGTGCTATGCCAATAACTCATATTTCGTAAGACTTTTTTGTTTGCCTTTCAATTCCATTACCTGTAGTTGAATTTTAACTGTAATGTTGTCACTATTTGATTAATTAGGCTAATTTTGAATAATAAGACAATAAGAAAATATCCAACAAAGATAAATCCCGGTTAGTCGAGTAAATCCGTACGAGAACCCTAAAAAAATTGCTTTAAATTGTTTTATTGGTTATTTTGACTTAGAATTATGTGTATTTTCCAGGAAAAAAAGTCTAATGAAATCGGAGTCTCGGAAGTCCAAAATTCAAGATGGCGTCCAAGATTTTGGTCAAATGTGTCCGTTAGCACAATAACTCAAGCAAAAATGATCTGAATTCGATGAAATTTGGTACAAACATGTAAACCTACATTTATTTGAACGAGTTTGCGAACCAGCATGATCGGACCATGGGAACAGGGGTTTAGGGGGGTTTTATGGGGTAAAAATTGGTTTTCCCTATTTTTGACCCTAAAAACGTAAAATTTTGCAATTTATTTCAACATACATATTTTATTTACTTAAATAAATATCTATACATTTTTAGCCCGAAAGGATTTTTTAGATAAGAATAGGCTTGTATTAATCGGGAATCTGAGCTATCATAAAGCCACATTTCAACCCAATCCGACCAGTAGTTAATGCGTGATTGAACTGAAAACAAACAAACTGTCACATTTATAACATTAGTAATAGTATAATATAGTCGCAATTTCTTGTGGTTAGTAGTAAAGCATTATACAAATAATAATTCATAATTTTCGTCAAGTTGTACACTGTTATGATCACTTTACGAACTGTCACATTGTTCTCCAAGCTGGTAAAGTCCACAAGCTGTAGTACAAGGTAACCCATACTTTGTTGCAGGAGCATTGCAAATTCTTGCAGCCAGTAGAGTAGTTGCAGTGAACAAATCTTAAAAGAATCTCTGGAGCGGCACTTTGGGTCATCGAGTCGTTCTTATTGTTTATTTTTTCCCAGCAGAGCATCTCAACATTATTTTTTTGTATTAATAAAAAAACTCTTCAAATGAATAATAGTTCTTTTCTTTTTTTGGCAGTTGATTCACTAGATTTATGAAATAATTTTGGTTTATTTTACTTTTAAATTTGGGAGGAAAATGATTCAAAAATTTTGATCCCATGAATGTTTCCTTTTTTTAGTTTTTTCATAGAAGCTGAGATTGATTAATTTATATACATTTTATTTCTAGTTTCATATGAATGGACATTTTTTTCTAATTTCCCAATTGTGTTTTAAAATTCAGGGACAAATTCATAGATATATTTCTGACTTATTACCGCGAAATGGGGAGTTGCCTTCATAATAATTAATAATAATTTTAACCTTTACATACATTAGGCTCTCAAAATGGAAACTATAACAGGATTCGTAAGATTACGAAACAAATCTTCAATTTTAAACTAGAAAAGATGTGCAATGTTTGGCAGTATGATTTCAGCTCTGATTCGTCGTTCTCCGGGCTCAGACCAAACCGTGTGCACGTTTCCATTTGTTATGTTGTGTTATTGATTTAATCATTATTTTACAATTGTATTTCATTGACACATCAAAACCATCTAATATACGACTCCAACGGAAGGAAAACCAAGATATAAAAAAAGAAACACTGTTAATTTTAAGTAACATAAAATTGATAATTTTAAAAACATATTTCGAGTATTTGTCTTTTTATATATGGTTTTTTATTGTAGTCTAGATTAGGGGCCATTGCCCCTACAGGCCACTAGTTATAGTACATATTTATTGATCAGACAGTCAAAATGTGTAGTTTTGAAAATTGATCTTTTACAGTTATCGTTTGTCAAAGTATAGCATGATTCTTATAGCATTTTTAGAGTTTCAGAACTGTATCTAAACTTTTTGGACGTTCCTCCATAGATTGCCAGACCATAAGACAAAATATTTTTATTTTAGAATGTCCAGGTTACATTAGTGACACTGGCCTAAAAACATACTGTATAACCCTGAAGAAAGTTTTTGTATTATGATTTGTGTATATTTAAGATTTGTGTCTAGGTTAAGCCCAAAAATTGAGTATGCTTAAGATCTCTTATTTTTTTTACGGGGTAGAAATGGGATTTTCCCATTTTTCACTGTAAAAAGTTGCAATTTATTCCCAAACCATTTTGAAGAGATCATAAAACCAAATAATTTAGTATACAGAAGCGTTGTTGTATGCCTAACGGTTACGGAGAAAATAAAAAAAGTGTACATTTAAAATGACCATGTTATTCTTGTGGAGAATAAATAATGTCTTAAAGCTTGCTTGTCTATGGAAATATTTTAGGGAAATTTGGAAATTTTGGCCATATTGAAAAAAAACCCGATTTTCGAGACTCCGATTTTATTAGACTTTTAGTTTGGTATTATTTCACATACTTATTGGAAATGTAAACCATCAAAAAATCTTTTAAAGCAATTTTTTTTTAGATTAAGGGGTTTTATTTCATATCTTGACTAGACCAAATTTGATCTAAATAACTGTAAACATGAACAACAATACGATTGGAATCATATGAAGTAAAAAAAACATCTGATTAACAACAGTATTGCCAAAATAAACCTGTAAACATTATACATGTAATTATTTTTGTAATTAACTATTTGTGTTTTATTACTTAACTACAATTGAACGAGCGGAAGCGAATCCTGTGGAGTTTAAAAACAGCTGATTAACAACAGTATTACCAAAATATACCTGTTAACATTATACATATAATTTTTTTTATAAACTACTTGTGAACTATTACAAAATAAAAGAATTGAATGAGCGTAAAAAAAGTATTGAAACAAATTCTATTACTTGACTCAACACAGAATTCGCTTATGACAAATATGCGTGTGTTAGTATCTGTGGAGACGATACAGGCCACGATGAATTGTTATCCAAGCGTACCAACTAACAATTAAGATATGGTAATTTTCAGAATTCCCATAAGAATTAAATAGTTTTTTTTATAACTATCCCACCACCACTTAAGATAATTTAATGATTAAGAATACTAAATTGCATATATTTTTTAAGGATTTACAACATAGGTATAGCACAGACTAGGGATAAAAAGTTTTGTTCCCTATAGTGACCAAAGTTGAAATAAGTTATTTACTACTAACAACTTAAGACAGATTTTTACCTATTTTCAACCCCATACAACACGTTTGCTGTATATTATTTATCTTAAATCATGAATAGTTTATAGATAATACATACAGTTTCAAAGGTTTGTACCAAATTCGGTCTAAATTGGAGGTTCAGAAGAAAATTTACAGGGAAAATAGTAAGGTTTATTATTTTTTTAATTTTTGGACGCCATATTGGAAAAACCCAATTTCCGAGACTCCGATTTTATTAGACTTTTAGTATGTTATTTAACATACTTTTTGGAAATGAAAACCATCAAAAAACCTTTTAGAGCAATTTTTTTAAGGTTAAGGGTGTTTTTTTCATATCTTGACTAGACTAGGTATTTGTATTAAACATTAAATAAAACTAAGTTTTTGTTGTCATTTTCTTGGTTTTCCTATAATTTTTTATGTTCTGATAGCATTGTTTAAACCAAAATCTCATAAAATCAAAAGACATATAGTTTACAATGTAATATTGAATTTGACTTTGATTTAATTGGACGAGGTTATCGTAATATAGCCATTTTAGGAAAACTAATGTTTTGCAGCAAAGTCTCAGGAACCCATTTATGATCACTGTTGTGTTTCAACTGAAAAATATCATCTAAATAGTCCGTGACTAACTGGTGCTGCTACCTAGTAACACATTGAACAACCATCTGTAGCGCTATCTGTTCGCAATCTGTGGCGTCAGCTTAAATACCGGTTTTTTACTCCTCAGTCTTCAAGCACAGATAGCTGAGAAGGCTAGGGCGTGTGTCACTTGGCCAGTGGCATTCGTCTGCTCGGGTTCGAATCCCGTCCTGTTTGGCAAATAATTGGTGACCTGTGTGTTTGTAGCGATATACTACAACCACTGGGGCATAGTGAGGTGTTCATAATCCTTGGTTTAGACATACACCTCAAAATCATTGGATTGGGCGAATCTTTTAGCTAAGTGGTTGTTAGTGTATCCTATGTACATGCAGGTCACCAATGGCCGTTTTGATACTTTTTGTATGACCTTCCTCTCTATATCCCTTAGAGATTTTTTAAAACAACGATATATTGTTTAATAGCACTGAAAGAGTTAATATACAAAAATGTGTATTATTCAAAACTCTTCAAAATAGTTAAGAGAGAAATTAAGAAATTTTATGTTTAGAGGGTAAAAAATGAGAAAAACCAATTTCCACCCCATAAAACCCCGTTCTTATGGTTAGATGACGCTGATTCGCAAACTCGCTAGAATAAATGTAAATTTGCAAATTTTTACCAAATTTCATTGAAATTTGATCATTTTTGCTCGAGTTTCGTGCTAACGGACACGTATATATTTTACACTCAAACTCAGAATTAGAATTAGGACAATATACAAAATTGTTACCCACTTCGCAATGTGGACGGCATGTAAAATTCACTTCGCAGAGTGAGTATTTTATTAGGACATTGGCAAAAGCAGAATGAATGCCCAGACCGCGTTGTGGGAAACTGATTTACTCAAATGCCGAAGTCAAAACGTTCCTCGGTGAGCAAATCCTAAATACCCACAACGCGATGTGAGCAAAAGTGATTGTCCAAGTCGGGTTGTGGGTATTTCTAGTTTGTACAAATGCCGAATTCTTGTTCTCACAGGACATCCAAAATGAAGACCTAAATAGAGAGCAGTTAAACCTACCTTTAAGCAATTTTTTATCAAGAAAATCTGCTGTTGATACAACTTGGGAAAACTGTGTAACTTCCTTAAAAATCCAGGCAGAATAAATGTTAATGAACATGGAAAGAAAATTAACCCCAGTTTCAGTCAAAGACATGATGTCAAAGAGATCATGTATTCTTGGTGTTGACCGGGGACTACTAGCTCCTAGAACTGCAGCAGCAGTTGTAAATAATAAATAACAATGAATACTACATTCTTGGTACGAAACGTGGAGTTCTGGACAAATAGTTCTCAAGATACCATTTCCAAGTGGCACCAAGTAAATTTATTTGCACCGAGGATGTACTTGATGAGCCGCTAAATGTTGGCAAAGAAACAATGATGTCATCCGGATCTAAGCAAGGTTTTATCAGATGTGGTTGCAAGAGGAACTGTTTAGGTATCATGAAAATGTATTAACTTATACATAAAATTGGATTCTATATGCCAAGGCAGCACATCCTGAGCCAACAAGTAAAATACAAATGAAACACAAACTCTGTGTAAGTCACTGTTTAAAGGTTGCTCTTATGGCATTAGCATCTACCTCAGTTGCATACAATTAACATATATAACAAAATATTTTACAATATTTTTGGTATAAACCTTTCAATGTCTGTGTATTTGCTATGGGCCTTTTTATAGTTTTTCATATTCGGTAATTTTCTGTTTACTGCACCTGTATTTTTTTATGTTAATTTCTAAATCGTACATTAAACAAATATAATTTCAAACATAAATTTTATTTTATAAAAGTCTACCAATTGATCGTGGATTTCATGTAGATTTTTGTGTACCTATGTGGTAGTTTGTACAGGCTATTCGGCATTTGTGCAAACTAGAAAAACCCAATAGTCGACGTGGGCATTCACTTTTGCACACATCGCGTTGTGGTTGTGTATTTTGGTTTTGCTCTATCGCCAAAAAACGTTTTGACTTTGGCGCATTTGAGCAAATCAGTTTACCTACAATGCGTAAAGTTGTGTCGTAAAATTATCTCTGGGCATTTCGCTTCTGCCAATGCCTGAATAATATGCTCATTCCGTGACGTGGGTATTTCACACTGTCCACATCGCGAAGCAAGTAAGAATTTCGGACATTGTCCGAATTCGGAGTTTGAGCGTAACATATATAATATATCAATATTTACAATGAATTTGAACATATGGTAAGCCTCTGGGGCATCAAAACAAAAAGTAAATCGGTCCCGGATCCAGGTCTTACCATGAGATCTATGGTAATAGCTTATTCCCTATATGGGAAATTAGCTCAAACTGTATCAATAGGCAAATAGAAATAAACAAAGATTAGGTCAAGGATCTAGCCAATGCATGAATAGGTAGGCCTACTAAACAACATAATATTTCAAACTCACCTTCGGACAGCCACTCAAAACCACAGTCAACAATTGCTCTTAAAATTTCTGGTTTCAATGGGTGATCTTTAAACTTTGAAGTGGAGATTGAGGCGTATCTTCCTATGACCTCGTCGTTGGCAGGCTCCACAGATCCTATTTCTTCTTTTGGTTCTGATACTACGGCCTGGTCTGGCTGCTCCTCATCTTCGTAGTCAAAAATAGCATCAATTTCCTGTAGTATTTTAGGCAAAATATAGTACAGTAAATATATCAAGCAGCCCATTCGTTTACAATGGGTTTACAAGTATACATACAGAGTGAGGCAGACCACCCATACACAATGTATAGCGAATAAACTAATCGAGGCAGATCTTTCGTAAAAACCTAAACCCCCCTATTTTGGGGAAATTATTTTGAAATCTCCCAAATGCAACGAAAAAAAAGTTTTTGGGGGATGAGGGTAGTATTGAAAATTTTCCAATGTAAAGATAGGTTAAGTGATACCTCATTTTAAAGGTATTTCACTGAGCAATTTGATTAAACATTTTAAACTTATTGTCAAGACACAAGTCTAACGTGTAAGGTCATGTGGGGCCACAATGCCTAGATGCGCGCAAAGATCTACCGCGAGTTAGACGAGACGGGAGAGAACAGTGTAGTGTGTGCGGCCGGTAGGACATCTTCTTCAAACCGATGAGTAGATAATATAGTAGGGGTTGGGGAAGGGTGTAGGCTAGGGCAATGAATTAGTATTTAACCCTTCAATGTGTATTGCCGTACGTGATACGCCGCCATTCCTAACCTCGCCGCCGTGTTTTGACGTATTGCGTACGCTCAGTGACGTCCCAGTAGATGCTGGCATCTAGTGAGTAAATACTCAACTACGTGGACTTGTGCAATACTGCAGTACATTGTAGATGAAATGAGCTACACAAACCACTAAAATAAATCCTTTTTACGTTTTTTCTGTTGTCTCTGGATGACGAAATTCATCAGCTGTTTTCAGCAGATGATTGTCCAGACTTCTGCTTTGTTTGTTTTGCTTACATGCGTGTGTTGTTCGTACGTTTTGTGTGTGTAATACATTATTTACTGGTAAAACATTTTCTAAAATCGTATTTGAGTATTAGTATAAGTTTTTTTTATTAGTTTCAACCGCTGACTGTATGTATGTATGAAGTGTTGTCGTAAATTAGGGATGTAAAAGTACCAAAGTGTTGTGTTTTGGAGCTGAGTTTTAGTGTTTGTTTTACAATGGCAAGAAGTAGTGAGATCGATCACTGGCTTTTGGATACGGATAATGCATCCGATGTAAGTGATAACGATTCATTTGATGTAGACTATGCCCAATTTCAAACACTAGGCCTAGAAAATAATGATTTAGAGAGTGACGATGAGATTCCTCTCCTTATTCCTAGACATAACCTCCGCCAAGACAATGGTGAGCCTAGGCCTATTTCTCCTATGGAAATTGAAACCCACACTATTCCTGCTGAAATGCACATTCCTCAACAAAACTCTGTCGATGTGACAATCGATGAAGTTGTATTAGGTGCGGGAGATGTACCCCTTAGATATAACCGTAGGCCTACAACTGATGTGCCTTCTATGGTTTGGGAGACAATTGAGGACTACATTCCTCACAGAGAAAATTTTGTTGGGTTTGGTGGTGTTGGTCCTCAAATCCCTGTTGAAAATCCCCTAGATCTGTTTCATTATTTTTTTGATGACACGCTTTTGGACATAATAGTACAAAATACCAATCTCTATGCGGAGCAACAGCACAGAAAGCTTGATTTTCCCACAGTTTTCAAGGAACTGGAAATGGAGTCCTGTCACCAAAGACGAAATGTATTTGTATTTAGCTCTAATCATGCTGATGGGTGTGGACCAGAGGCCTACTATTAGATCTTACTATTCCAAAAACCCCTGTTTGCGCTCAGACATCTTTCCAAGTACAATGCCATGTGAACGTTTTGAGGCCATTTCTAAGAACTTGCACTTCTGTGATGATACAAAGATCAGTGATTATCAGGGCCAAAAGGGTTTGTTCAAAATTTTTTCTGTAATTGAACATCTGAACGCTAGGTTTCAATCCTCATATAGACTGTCTCAAAATATATCCATCGACGAGTCTCTGACATTGTGGAAGGGCCGTTTGGGCTTCAAGCAATATTTGCCCCTAAAAGCAGCCAAATTTGGGATAAAATCGTTTGAGATATGTGAATCCTCCTCAGGCTTTACGTGGTCCTTCATTGTATATACCGGAAAAGGCATGGTCTTTGATAATCCTATCATCCCACCTAAATCAAACAAGTCCACTGCGATTGTTCTCTCCCTTATGGAGCCACTTCTTGATAAAGGATTTACTTTGTGGATGGATAATTGGTATAATTCCCCTGAGCTTTCAAAATTATTAAAAGAAAAAAAGACAGACACATGTGGCACTCTAAAATTATCAAGGAAAAATGTCCCAGATGAAATCAAAAGTCAAAAATTAGAAAAAGGAGAAATTGTAGTAAAACACAGTGGAGATGTGATGGTGATGAAGTGGCGCGACAAAAGAATCGTCACTCTTATTTCTACCTTCCACTCCCATGAAATGGAGCAAAGACTTAGCAAGAATGGGAGGCAAGAAATGAAGCCAGCTTTGGTGTATACATATAACAAGCAAATGGGAGGGGTTGATATGAGGGACCAAATGCTGCACGCATATCAGCTAGAAAGAAAAAGGGGCCTGAAATGGTACGTAAAAATCTTTAAACGCCTTCTGAATATTTCTGTATTGAATTCCTTTATAATCTGGAAATCTAATACCCAGAAAATTGACCACCTAGCCTTTCGATTAGATCTTATAAAGATGCTTTTTGAGACCCATGGCCCTGAAGTACCAAGACCTGTTTTCGGAAGACCTTCAATTGAGCCGAGACCTGCTAGACTTACAGAAAGGCACTTTATTTACCTGATACCACCTACAGTAAGTAAAGTAAATGCACAAAAGATGTGCTGTGTATGTGCAAAACGGGGAGTAAGAAGACAGCAGATATTGGTGTCCCAAGTGTGAAGCAGGACTGTGTCTTGGAGCATGCTTCGAAGACTACCATACAAAAGTTAACTTCTAAGAGGTATGTAACTATTGTATCACATTCAAACTTTTATTTCAATCATATATTTTTAAAGCCTATAATCTGCTCTTTATTTTGATGAAATAATTGAATGAATTAATGAATGAATGAATGAATGAATGAAAGAAGTGCTTTATTGACCAAAAGATTTTCCTTACAAACCTAGGCTCCTCGCAGGAAGCCACAATGTCTTACACTAAAACCGTAATGGTTCATAGAACCGTCTACGTGGTTGGCATACACTTTTTTTTCACTTTTAATTTAAAACTATAAATTAAATTCTGGACTAAAATCAAAAGTAAAAAGTCTGAAATAAAAATGTTTAATTAAAGCGAATGAAACTAAAAATAAAATAGCTGGCTCACAACCCAATATATGTTATAGATCCATATATACACACACAAATACATACACATACATATATTAAAACCAATACCCCCACCCTAAAAAAATCTTGTCTTAACACGTAGAGTGCGGCCGTTCCCGATCGGGTACGGCGCTTGGCCCCCGTACGGTGCGTCCGTACCCCATCGGGAACGCTCGGTAATGCCTTTTGTATATCTTCGTTTTTGCTCTAGCGTTGGCCGAAAGCGGACCTATACGACGTTAGCGTGTAGTATGTGACTTGCATTTTGTTGTGGTGTAGGTTGGTAGTAAATTTCCCCGTAAAATTCCCGTCTGGCAATCTCAAAAGTCTTCTTTTTGTCCCGTCTTTTTCCCTCCATTTGGCAATACAATTCCAATGGGACCGGCTACATTCCAAGCAGTGCTGCTATCTGTGGGTGTTTAGCGAACTACATCGACTCTCGTTGTAAAGCAGGACATCCCCTCACGTTATTTGCTATTCGTCAGACCAAAATTGAAAAGGCCAATCACACGCGGCAATCGGGTTTACTCGACGCTGAGGGCTGCGCCGCACTGGGGATACGCCCGCTATTTGACGTGCCGCAGCGAACGTGTTAAAGTCAGTGAATTTTACCTTGAATATAATTCTGGAGTATGACAATTTCAAATAATTTTTATACGTTAAATTCGATTATCAATCCCCACCTAAAATGCCAAGCTTCTTTTAAATACCCACCCAACGCGCGCCAATCCCTCCCATTCATAAAACTCAAAAAATCTTCCCACTCCAATACGTGATTAGAAAAATACTTCTTTCTTATATGAGACAAAACCGGGCATCTACCTACAAAATGGAAAATGTTTTCGTCCTCTTGAAAATTACAAAGAGAGCAACGGAAATTTTGTTCTAAAATCCAAGGCTTATAATTCAGATGTATTGCCTCAGCTCTTGCCTTGAAAATCCAACGTTGTAAATTCATACTAATATTATCTGAAAGATAAGACCGATGGCAGAGATTTAAGTCAAGTGATCTATAAATGTGGTGATAACGACATTCCAGCGCGGCTTGATTCCAGGCCTGCTTGGTCGCCGTCCTAACTGACTCTACAACTCTTATCAGCTGATCATGCATTGATCCTAAACATTCAATATTAAAGTCTATGTTAATACCATGCATTTGACCTAAATTCCTCCATTCTCTAGCCCAGGCTACGTTTTTAAAAATAACTTGCTTGGCAAAAAAGTTTGTAAGTCTGTTCGCTGGGAGCGACAAAGATTGTATTAAATAACTGACATTTGACATTAAGGTATAACAATACATATTTTCTATTCCTGTCTCTAAATGCAAAATATAATTTGGCACATTCTTTGGAAGGCAAAATATTTTCTTAATAAATAATTTCAAAATTCCCTCAACCTGTTGACTCTCTTTAAAACCCCAAACTTGGCTTCCGTAACACATTATTGATCTAATCAATGAATTAAAAGCGAAAACCTTGGAGCTCAACGGGACATTTCCATTGTTAAAAAAATCTCTCCACAACGAATTCATGGCAAATTTTGCAGCTACAGATTTTTCTCGCAAATGACTTTCCCACGACAGTTTTGTAGTTAATAATATTCCCAAATACTTATATTGATTTACAACCTCTATTCGTTTCCCTTTATAAAACCACTTATCTCTGCCACGTAACCTCCCTCCTTTTCTGAATACCATAATTTTAGATTTATTCAAATTCACTCTTAGGTTCCAAAGATCAC